TGGGGATCAAGCCTAACCCAGGCAAGTGCCTTGACTGGGACTCAAACCATGACTTTCATAGGTCATTGCTCAACCACTGAGCAACACCAACTGGGCTTGTGTTATTTTTGTTTCCATGTAAAGTATTTCTACTCTGATCTTTATTATTCTTTCCTTCTACTTACTCTGGGCTTTCTTGTTGTTCTCTTTCTAATTCTTTTTAGTTGTAGTGTTATGTAATTTATTAGACCTTTCCAACACTTATTACTTGCTTGTTAATAACAGCCATTCTAACTGGTGTGAGGTTGTATTTCATTGTAGTTTTTGATTAGCATTTCCCTAATAGTTAGTGAAGTTGAACATATTTTCATATATCTGTTGGCCATTTGTATGTCTTCTTGGGAGAAGTGTCTGTTCAAAGTTCTCAAGCCATCTGTTTGTTTGGTGTTGAGTTTTATGTGTTCTTTATATACAGGGTGTGGCAGGGTGTAGGTTTACAATTCTGAGTATGCAAAACACATAATTTATTCTTGTATTATTATTTTATTATTTGCATACAAAATCTACTTTTGCCCCACCCTGTATTTTGGATATTGAACCCCTTTTCAGAGCTGTTGTTTGCAAATATCTTCTCCTATTTAGTTGGTTGCCTTTTTATTTTGTTGGTAGTTTCTTTTGCTGTGTAGAAGCTTTTTAGTTTGATATAATCCCATTCATTTATTTTGCCTTTATTTCCCTTGCCTTTAGGGTCAAATTCATAAAATCTTCTCTACAACCAAGGTTCATAAGTTTAGTAGCTATGTTTTCTTTTATATAGTTTACGAGAGGCCCAGTGCACGAACCCAGGGGTTGGGAGGGATTTCTCAGCCCAACATGTGCCTAACCAGCAGTTGGACATCCCTCTCACAATCTGGGATGCTGCAGTCACTAGTGACCATACTTTACATACAGGTGAAAGACATCTAGCTATTGTAAGGGCAGCTACATTTTTTTGCCCTGATTTTAAAAAGTAGTACATAACATGATCCTTCTGAGGCAGTAGTACCATTTTCTCCATCCTATGGGTGGAAAAACTGAAGCAGAGAGAAATTAGGTAACTGGCTTTGTCACACAGTTATACATGTCAGAATAAGGGCTGACCACAAAATGCGCAAGCCAGAGTCCATGCATGTCATCACTGCATCATCCTGTTTTTTTAGTGTTAGAATAGCCTTGTCAGGTTTTAATTTTTAAATCTAAGATACTGTTCCCAATATACAGGGTAGGGTCACTAGGCCTGGATGGCGATCAGTGCCGATCTGTGAAGAGACCGGCAGGCGGGGCGAGGTGCGCATCATAGCAACCAGTCTGCCCATCTTTCTGTCTTTCGGTTGATTTGCATATTAGGGTTTTATTATATAGGATTGTTTCAGGTCTTATAATTAGGTCTTTGATCCATTTTGAGTTAATTTTTGTATATGGAGACTATCTGTTCTTAATTGAAGCTCTAGCATACTACACAAGGCTCAGCACATATAATGGGAGTTCAATATATGTTTGTTGATAGAATGAATGAATGGGTGGATAGGTGAACAAATACAGAAATAGATTATTCTGAGGTGATTCAATCAAAATAATGCAGTATAAAAAACCAGAAAAGGAAAGCTTTAAAGTGATGTTAGATACTGTTACAGAGTTATAGGGAGTCCGAAAAGTCCACTGAATTGAATGTTCAGAAGGGATTTTATCTTTAGAGAGTTGTTCTAGTAAGAATATAAACCAGATTTTTCACTGAATATAAACCAGAACATAAAGAATTAAGGATGAAGTAGGTAATAAAGATATGATTACAGTAAGATTGCCTTTGTCTTTATTTTTATTACTTTGGTGGAAATAGAATAGATGATATACGTATGTGAGGATAACTGAATCAAGAAAGGGGTTTGTTGGTTTCTTCATTTTAAAATAGCAAGAGTGAGCATATTAGTTAGGAAAATACAAGTATCAGTCAGTGGATAAAAATATGTTGAAGATATAGAGGGAAAAGGGGAATTATAAATAAATTTCTAGAAGAGGCAACTTAATCACATATAAATTTCAGAAAGAACCTACTGTCCCCAGAGATTAAAGTAATGGGAAAATGTGAAAGTAAGGGACATAGAGAACCAAATAAATGTGCTGTAACCTCAACTTACCCTAGATGATCTATTTACAAGTTACTCCAGAGCAGGTATTCAATAAATATTTGTTAAATGAATGGGATGAACAGACAAATGAATAGATGCAATGATATAAATGTGTTGTTTCTGTATCTTCTTACCATAGACATGATTTTTCATAATTTCTTAAGCTAAATCATTGATGTGATAAGGAATGACAGATTGTACCAATCAGGGAACACCTTTAGTGAACATTTTTTAACAACAGATTGAACAAAAATATGATGAATACCCTTATGCATTCTACTGTTATTTAAATTCCTAATGATGGAATTATCTATGTGCTAACATTATTCATTTTACTGAAAGCAACAGTAAGTAAAGAAACAGTTTATGTCAAAGAAAAATATATGTTCAATCAATAACCAGAAAAATATGTATGTATCAATATTTGTCTAACTCCAGAAGAAAAAACAAGATTAAGAAATAAAAAGTTTAATTTTTAATGTTTAAAATAATTGTTCAACCTGAAAATTAAATCCCAGATCTAATTTTCTAATCTGTTGAGCATTCTCTTTATAAAATGTTCTGTTTTTAATGGTTTTCACATTCCAAAAATATACACCAAACTGTATAAAAAAACACTATTTAAAATTCACTAGAAGTTACTTTAAAATAAATCATATGTACACTGACTTTATAACACTCTCCTCTGTTCCAACTTCAGAACTTGTTACTAAGTTAAAAGATCACAGAAACAGATGAACACTTTTGTATCACTTGACAAACATTGAAAATATTAGTTAGCTTTCACTTGCTAACTACTAGAATTTATATCTATATATATAAAAGCCTAAGAGACCAGCCGACCAGTAGCTATTATGTGCACTGACCAACAGGGGGCAGATGCTCAACGCAGGAGCTGCTGAGCTGCAGTGACTTGTTAGTTCTTGGGTGATGCACCCGGAACCAGGGAGGAGGGAGCCCAATTCTGAGCCCATCACCTGAGAACTGCCCTCTCACAATCTAGAACCCCTCAGGGGATGTCAGAGAGTTGGTTTCAGCCCAATCCCTACAGGCCAGGCCAAGGGACTCTTTGGGTCATGAATCTGTGCACCGGACCTCTAGTATTACTATAATGTTGCTTATTTTATTGTGCATTTCAATATGACCTATGTCAAAAGAAAAATATGTTTGTGTTTTTTTTAAAAAAAAATCAGGGAATAAAAAAGTTTTATGGTTTCTTTATAGCTTATATAGCAGCTAAATTTACAATTTACATTATTCTTTCAACAATTTAATTACTGCGTACCATGCACAAAAGAGGTAAGTGACACAAAAGAGGTGGGTGAAACCGAATGAGTAAGGGATTGATCACTGTTGGAAGGAGTCAAATTATAGCAACAATAATTAGAACATATAGTCTATTTCATAATGTGATTTTCACACACAATTACTATAATAAATTACTTTGTGTGGTAAAAATACAAGGATGGAAACAAATTAAACCAAATCAGGGAAATCAAAATAGGAATCCAAGTTCATTGTATAATTGAAGAAATGGATTTGAGAGATATCCTGGAAGAAGTGATAGGATATACCAATCACCAATATGATAAGAATAAAAGTTGGAAAATAAGAATTATGGGGAAGATAATGGTCTCCAACTAGCTGAATAATTTATTTTGCTTTTTTAACCCCTTCCCCAACAATTTTTTTGTTAAAAACGTTTCTTTTTCAGACTAATTTTTTTATTTTGGTTCTATATAGCATTTTTGATGCTGGTTATGAAAACAGTTTGTAACTCGTCTTCCTATAAACCATATTTTTTTACCATATTTTCTTAGTATACTCGTCGACGACTGAAAAAGAACATTTTGTGAAAACGAGTATACACGTTTCTGCCGGGGAAGGGGTTAAAGGATCTGGAACGCAGTGGCACCTTGGAGCTCATCATTGGTATTCCTTGTCCTTCTGAGCCCATGCTGAGGAGCTGCTGGCCCTATCAAAGCCTATGTATCAAAGGCAGGTTTGACCATCAAGTCCGAACACTGAATGTTTCCAGTGACCATGCCAGAGATTTCATATTCTAATGAGGATTGCCCTTTCCAGCACTCTTCTTAGGATGTTCTGCATTCATTGCACTTTATTCCTATGGCTCAAAAATTTTGGACTGCCTCACATATTTGTATACATGTGTAGAGTATCTTTATGTTTTATTATTATGTGCATTTTAAGTGAATATTCAAGCCATTTTCATGAATGTGTATATCCACTCTGTTGTGCATTATAATATTATCTGGACACTATTTGTAATACCATATGTATATCCTCGGTTTAAAAACTGTCAGTATTGCCCTGGCTAGTGTGGTTCATTAGGTTAGAGTGTCATCCCATACAGCAAAAGGTTCCAGGTTCAATTCCCAGTCAGGCCACGTATCCAGGTTGTGAGTTTGATCCCCAGTTAGGGCGCATGCAGATCAATGTTTCTCTCTCACACTGATGTTTTTGTTTTCTCTCCCCACTTTCCTCTCTTTCTAAAATCATTTTTTTTAAAATGTCAGTGTCATTGGTTATGTTCTGTAAGTGGGAATTTCACAAGTGTTCGTTCCATCATCTCCATGAACTGCTGGTATTAACTATAGCAGACACACTGTAGCCCTGTGAGATAAAGTATCCTGATAGTTTTTACTAGAATTAGCCACCACACCACCACACCACCATACTTTTAAAACATCCCCACACCCACCTTTCAGTATGAACGATTGTGTTATTTTTCAAGATTTTCATGTATATAAATATTTCTGTTCAGAAACCCTTTGAAATGATCTATTGTCAGAAGCCAATAATAATTAGCAATGACCAGTAGGGTCTTGGGAATACCTTCTGGTGTTGTTCTTCCTTCATCCTCTGTAGTTTTCGATTTTCTTCTTCCTTTAGAGAATCCTTATAAGCCTGTCTTCTGGCCTGTAAAGATATAGGGGAGAAATTCAGAGGAAAAAGCATCGCCACAATATACTAGTCTGCCTACCATGGATCTGGTTTTAATAACTCAACCTCTGTACTAAGCATACAGCAAACTCTTCATACAGACTTAACTATTGAATTATTTATGCGTGTGTCTGAAGATGTCCTTTGGGATATACAAAAAAGAATGCTAGGATAAGCACATTTTATAATTCGATCTAAATACTTGTTTAATTTGCGTTTTAAAAATATCCCCTCAAATTTAACTTCAGGTGGTGGGCACACAATGCCATATATAGATGATGTAAGATAGAAATCTACACTTGAAACCTACATAACCTTTTTAACCAATGTCACCCCAATAAATTTAATAAAAAATTTAAAAAAAGAAAGTTGCAGGGTGAAAGGGAGATAGAAAAAGTATGTAAAAGAAAATAATTTATTTAAAGTTTCAAAATGGCAAATTCGCTTTCTTAATGAACAGTGTGAAACTCAGCTAATAAATCATTGAAAACACTTTTGTGAAAGTGAATAATGCTAACACCTTCCTGTTAGAAAGTTGAGGGAGAAGTAGTTGTTGCAGAAATTAAAAAAAAAAAAATCTGTATTGCTACTTTAGAACTGCTAACCAAGAACTGTGTTGGGCCACTTTTCCCGAAAACTGCTACTACTAAGGAAATGAAAAAAGGAGAGAAATTGTCCACCATGAAATGTAACTAGATACAAAGATAAGGGGCCATTTTTATTTTTGAGCAACAGAGGTTGGGGCATAGCCTTCTTGTCGAATTCTTAGTCGTGGCCAAAAGTAAATATTATCCCTTTCAGAGACTTGTAACTCACAGCTGTCTAACCTCTTTGGTCTGACATTCATGTTACGATCAGATGGCTTCCAATTATCCTCTCCAGCCTATTCCCTATGACTTTTCTCAGCTCAAACTAAACTTCTATTTCTCAAAATTACCCATACAAAATAAATTCATACATACATATATACATACATCCCCTCAGAGATAGTCGACATAGTGTATATTTTTTCTAATGAGAAGGCTTTGAAATAGAGGAAAGTTAAATATTTTTCAAGAATATTCCAGCTGAATCTGGTTTGGCTCAGTGGGATAGAGCATCAGCCTGTGGACTGAAAGGTCCCAGGTTCGATTCCAGTCAAGGTCATGTACCTGGGTTGCGGGCACATCCCCAGTAGGAGATGTGCAGGAGGCAGCTGATCGATGTATCTTTCTCATCGATGTTTCTAACTCTCTATCTCTCTCCTTTCCTCTCTGTAAAAAATCAATAAAATATATTTTAAAAAAAAAGAATATTCCAACCAGCTGATTAGTTAATATTAGAGAGAAGCAATAGTGACGCTGAGTTTAGAAGCACTGACATGTCTACTGCTCATTAATGGATCCTGTTAAAAAGCCTGTCAACCGGTAACTGCTACCACAGGATTCCAGAGATGCATTTCTCTCTAAGTCTTTGCATCCCCAGTCTGTACCTGAAGCATATTTCTGTTTCTGAGCAGAAAAACAAGGCCTGTTAAGGAGCACAGAAGTCATAAATCTGGCTGAATTAGGACCCCTGGGGAGCCTTAGGAGAGCCAGCACCCACAGCAGGATGTCTTTAGTCCCACTAACCCACCATGTCAGGCTTCCACACACTGGCATAGAGGCCGTATACTCTGGAATTTATGAGATATCAAGTATTCTGTCTGTTCATTGGTCATATACTTTCTCTCTCACACATTGATTTGTAGCCCAGCCTCTGTAAGGCAGAGAGGCCAGCCTGGTATGCTAATGTTCAGGACATTTCATTTTTCTCATAAAAGCACCAGCAGCATCATGGCAGCCGGCGGCATATTTCAGGACTTGTTCTTTGGACTAACAATCCATAAAGCTTATGTAGGCTGGGCCCCCCTTTCCTCTTACTGTAATTTTTCTCAAGCACTTCTTAATCCATTCCCCCATTTCTGTCACTATAGAACCCGTATTGCATCAAATAAGAAGACATACTTGCCAGAGCGGGTTTCTATCATTTAAAACACTACTAATTAGAATAGCGGAGCTCTGGATGTGTTCAGAAAGCCCTTGTATATGCAAACCCTGCTACATCAGATGGGCAAACATCCTATGACTTTCTCTTCTATATATCCTAAACACAAGGGGACTGTGATAAGACAGAAGGTGGGAGTGGTTCTTCTTTTTAGAGAAAGCTAGTCTTCATCACAAATATTCCACAGAAAACCTAACAGGGCTGGGGGGAGGGGATAAGGGAGTACATCTACTCAAGAGATTAAAAGAAGGAGTAAAATATTTAGTTAAAACAGATATTATGATTTGAGTGGGAAACCTAAATTCTGTTTGTATACCTTCCTTTTAAACTTAACCACTTGATGCCCAGCTGGTGTGGCTCAGTGGTTGAGCATAGATAAGAGGTCGCCGGTTTGATTTCTGGCCAGGGCACATTGCCCAGGTTGCCTGCTCAATCGCCAGTAGGGGTGCACTCAGGAGGCAACCAATGCATGATGTTCCTCTCTCATTGATGTTTCTATCTATCTCTCCCCCTTCCTCTCCCTTCAAAAATCAATAACAAATATATTTAAAATAAACAAACAAATACACTTAACCACTTGTTCATTTACCAGAATATGGCTCCTGGTTTTGGATGCAGAAAAAAAAAAGAAGTGTCATTTAAAACTGGGAAGTCACCCGGCACCTTAACTATGAAGACTTCAAAGTTACTTGTAATCCTCATGCGTGCTTACCCAGCTGTGATCCCTAGGCAGGACAGGAAGTTTCTGTTCAAAAACAAAGAAGGAAAAAAAAAAAGGGGGGGGGAGGAGAAAAAAAAAACAAAAACAAGGTAGGAAACAGTTTTGATCACTATTTGTCTTAGTTTTAAATCCCAGAAATATCTATATCATTGTATTCAGATATTTTTCTAACATTAAATATGAATTTAACGTAATATTAAAACTTAAGTTTTTGTTACTCAACTACGATACACAGTTTTACTCATCCTCTCCCAAAGGTATGCTTATAATCTAGGTGTTCAATAAACAATATTTAACCCTCCTATGTGCAAGCACTATGGTTAAGACATAATCCCAGACCTCAAGTGTTTACAGCCTAGTGTGGAAGTCAGACAAGAAGATCAATCGTTATAGTACATCATGATAGGTATTGTGAAAGAGGAAGCTATAAAGAAGGACATTTAAGTAAACTGGAGCAAGGGCATCTTCTCAAAGTAGATGACACTAAGTTGTGTCTCAAAGAGTGAATTAGAATCAGCCTAAGTGGGGGGAAGGAAATTTGAACAAATGGAAAATAACATTGTATTGGTTTTCTAGGGCTGCCATAACAAACTATCATAGTCTGGGTGGCTTAAACAATAAAAATCTGGTGTCTCACAGTTTTAGAGGCTGGAAGTCCAAAATCAAGGTATCTGCAAGGTGGATTGCATGAGGTAAGGACCTAGGCCTCTTCCTTTGGCTTGGAGATGTGTCTTCTCCCTGTGTCCTTTACATCATCTTCCCTCTGTGTCCGTCTCCATGGCCAAATTTCCCCCTTTATAAGGACACCTCTACTATTGAATCAGAACCCACCCTCATGACCTCACTTTTACTTGATTGCCACTGTAAAGGCCCAATATCCAAATTATGTCACATTCTGAGGTGCTGGAGGTTTTAAATTTAAATTTGGGGGTGAGGAGGACACAATTCACCCCATGACAAGCATTAAATTCCTGTTTCAAGATGGTGGAATAAAAATGTTTATGCTCCTTTCTTCTCTCAAAAATTACCCTAAGCAGACGAGGAAATAAAACAAACAAACTCTATCTTTAAAAACTGAGAGACAGCTGTATTCCCAGACAACAATCTATAAAGACAGAGTAGATGGAGAAATGGTAAGTGACTAAGAGAGGAAGAGAGCATGCCTGAAGACTTGCTGGCTGGGGATAGAGGACACCCATAAGGAGCCAGTCTTCTCCATAGATCAATGTGAGAGCCAGTATCTGGACCAGTTATTAGGGAAGGTTGAAGCATGCTGGGAAGATGCCTATGCCTGCTCCTACCTGAAAATTCAGGTGTGAATTCTCCCAATCCTGAGAGGAAATCAAAAGTGTATTCTCTACATAAACTAAGCAAGGCAGGCCTGGAACCGAGGCAGCAGTGGTCAGATACCTCATTGAGAATGAAATGATTCTGTGAAATCCAGCATACTGAGCAGTGAGCCTCTCATGCTCTCTGCACTTTCCTCTGAGGGACAGAAAGTGGATATTTTATCCACAAAACAAGAAAATATTATTTTTAAATAGCAATGCAGGAAAAAGAAGCTCTTTGCAATTAAAAATATCTCCTCTCCCTCCACAAAAGACAAACCAGTAAAATATTTAGAAGATAATATATTATTTTTTATCTCACATGTATTTTCTTATATCTGCTCCAAATTTCTTAAACAGAGCTCCTAAAATCATTATAGTTTTCTAAGTGATAAGAGCAGTAGGAGCATTTGTTCTAATGAGGCAACTCTGGGAGGGCTCCCGGATGGAGGCTGGTCACCAGAGAAACCAAGCCATAATTAGAAGCTTGGAATCTTCAGTCCCACCTCCCCCTGTCCTTAAGAGACGGCAGAGGAGCTGGATATGGAGCTACTAAATTGGAAATGCCTATGTGGGGAAGCTTCTCTAAAAATCTCAAAAGCAAGGGGATTTGGGGAACTTCTAGGTAGGCAAACATATCCATATACTAGGAGGGTAGCCACACCCCAACTCCCAGACCTTTCCTATGTATCTCTTCATCAGGCTGTTTATTTTTATTATATCCTTAATTAACAGGACAATGTGTTACCCAGAGTTCTGCAAGCTGCAGTAGCAAATTAAGCAAGCCCAAGGAACCTCCAATTTGTAGCCATGCTGGACCAAAAGTTGTGAGGAACCTGGGGACCTACTAGTTGCAACTGGCACCTGAAGTGGAGGCAGGCTTGTAGGACTGAGCCCTTAACCTGTGGGAACTGACACTATATCCAGGTAGGTAGTGTCACAGTTGAGTTTAATTGTAGGGCACCTAGCTAGTGTCCCAGCATTGCTTACTGTGAGAGAAAAAACCAACCCATCTGGTATCAGAAGCATTGAGAGTGTGGTGGTGTGACAGCAAATGAGACACAAGGAAGAGAAAGAACTGGTTTTTTTTCTAACTCAATATGCCAAGAAGAGGAGGGGGAATTAGTCAAAGATAAATTAGAGGAGAAAGATATTTTTTACAAAATGTTAGAAGATAAATCTAGGAGGCCTAGGTTTTGAATAATAAAAATTCCATTAAGAGAAAATGAAGATAAATAAATCAAAGAAATAACACAAGAAAATCGTTTAGAACTAGAAATGAGTTTCCTTTATTCTTTAAAAGGAATAAAAATGATCTCGCGCTAAGACATATCTCTATGAAATTGCAGAATACCAGAAAAAAATAAGATATTAAAGTATTTCCAGGAAACGTAGGGGAAAGCCTGCTTATGAGGACTGATATTGGGATGGCCTTGGAGTTCCCAGGAACTAATACTCAAGGTTAGAAGAGCAATGCCTTCAAAATTCTGAAGGAAAATTATTTCCAATCTGGAATTCTTACCAGAAAATTGCAAGCTAAGAATGAGGGGTGAATAAAGATAATTTCAGACGTGCAAGGACCTGAATATGCATCTTCTCTTAAGAAGATACTAAATAATATACTCTACCAAAACAAACAAATAAAGCAAGAATGTAGATGAGACCCAGAAACCAGGGGACCCAACATAGGAGAGCAATAGCAGTAACTCCTCAGATCAGCGGTTGCCCACCTTTCGGATCTCACGGACCACCGGTGGTCCATGGGTCACAGGCTGGCGACTGCTGCCCCAGATGACTTTAAAGCAGTGATTCTTATCATTGGCTGCACATTAGAATCACCTGGGGAACTTTAAAAGCCCTGAAGTCAGGGCCATGGAGCAACAAAATCTCTGAGGGTATGACCAACACACCAGTGAATTTTAAAGCCCCCCAGGTGATTCCAATGTGCAGACAAGGCTGAGAATTCTGTGAAAGGAAAGTTTCAGAACAAGAACTGAAGGCATTCAAATGTTCAAAGGAAACTAAGAAAATGCAAAGATAAAGCGAAATTTTTAAAAAGAGAAAATGTAACTGGCTTGGCAGCGAAAATATATTTACATCATCATAATAAGGGAACACATGAAATACTGAATAGTTATGTTAGGAGAATAGGGAAATAAATTATTATTAAGAAAGAAAATTGATTGGTCATGAGATAGCAATATACACATTAACAGATATATAGAGTCAAATAACAAAAGAAACAGCTAGGGGAGTATGGTGGGATGACAATGTCCATGTCCTAATCCCTGGAAGTTGTGAATATTACCTTCTATGGCAAAAGGGAATTTGCAGAAATTATGGGTCTTGAGATGAGGCGATGAGCCTGGATGATCCAGGTGGGCCTAATATAATCACAAGGGCCCTTTAGGAGGAAAGCAAAGTAAAAGAGTGCAGAGAAGGTGATGTGAGAATGGAAGCAGAGATCAGAGTGATGTAGCCACATGCTGAGGAGCCAAAGGATGGTGGTGACCAAGAGAAGCTGGAAGAGGCACAGACCAGATTCCTGGCTAAAGTCGCCAGAGGAACCTGCCCTGCTGACAATGATTCATACTCATTTCTGACTTCTGATTCCAGGACTGTCACAATAAATGTGTGTTGTTTTTTAGCCACTAAGATACAGTAATTTGTTACCGCAACAATGCAAAAATTTTTATTGAGTTATAATTGACATATCACATCATATCAGTTTCAGGTCTACAACATAATAATTCAATATTTGTATATATTGGGAAATAATCACCACAGTAAGTCTAATTCACATCCATCTGTCACCATACATTGTTATAAAACATCTTCTTGTGATGTGAACTTTTAAGATCTATTCTTTAGCAACTTTCAAATATATGACAGAGTATTCACTATAGTCACCATGCCTCACATTAAATTTCTTGACTTATTTTATAAGCAATTGGAAATTAATACGGAGTTTAAAGTGTTGGAGTGAAAGTGGGATTGAAGGCCTAACAGGAGACATATACCCTTAAGTGTTGACTTTTTAAAGAACGTGACACATGGATAAAAATTAAAGTAACCAAGCTTCATTGAGTGTTTAAAGTAGTGAAAATATATGGCCATAAAGACATAAGTGATTGAGAAAGTGCTCCTCAAGCATTAATGTGCACACAAGTCACCCACAGACCGTGTTAAAAATGCAGGTTCTGATTTAGGTCTGCAGGGGGGCTTGAGATTTGTCCAGATTTCTATAAGCTCCAGGTGATGCCCATGGTCCATCACTAGGTCTAGTGACAAAGACCTACATTTTAGGACTGCAGAGAGAGCAGGGTTGGAACAGAAGAGAGCAGAAAGAAGGTAGGGTTTTTTGATTAAGTTACAGTATTTTGACTTTATCTTTAAAGATAAAGAGGCCACTGGACAGTGGAACAACAGGATGAGAGTTTTAACAATTATTATTCTCTTTAGAAGAGGAGGAAGCAGGGGACATCAAACCAGGGCCTGGAAACAATTTACTGTGCAATCTTATGTCTGAAGTTCTCTTGTATAACATCTAAAGGAATTTTCTTGCAGTCTTTTCCCTGACATAATTCTATAGTAATGTATTAAATTCCTACCTGCCCATGACAGATCCACTTGTAAATAGCATAAGAAAGACAATTTTCTCAGGACCGTGTGACTAATGCACTCATCAATACACAAAACATGAGGCTCTGGATGACAAAACATTACTGATACTTTGGACAACAGTTTTAAAATTCAGGATGCTCTTGTCAAATTGAAGACTTGAGCCAAAATCAACAGAACAAGCACACACAGTTCCACCAGGTGTTTCAAACCATAGGGGTCAGGAAGCTCTGAAACCAAGACCATCCTTGCAGCTAAATACCCACTTGGTAAGGCTCCACACTCCTGTTTTCGCTCCCCTGCCTCACTGCCACAGGGTGTCTGGACAGATGTCAACGACTGCCCCTCCACAGGATTGAACCCTACTACCCACAGCCTCTTAGCCCTCTCCTCCAGAGCCCTGCAACGAGGGGAGAGGATGACAGATTTGATATGACTTGAGGAGCCCACACTAGCAAATTTGCACTTTGAAACATCACATTAGCAACAGAAAAAAAAATAATCAAACACTTAAAGGTTAATGAGTAAGAGTAAAATGGCCTTTTCCCAAGTTGTGTCATACTGTGTTCCTGGCATTTTTAAAATGTGGTCACTAACCAGAAAGGGGGTGGATGAGAAGATGAAGATCAGGTTTCTCTAACAATGCATTGTTTACCTGCCCAAATTCCGGAAACGATGACCTTTGAAAACTTAAACCCATCTTTTCTTTGAACTATAACCCTTTCCCAGACTCATCCTTAATTACACTTACTTTGTTGTCCACAATTAGCCAGTCAATATCCAAGCCCTGCCAATTTCACCTGCTAAGCAGTTCTCTGACTTCACACTCATCTCCATCCTGTCACCACCACTCTACTTCAAGTCTTCATCATTCCTCATCTGGACTAATACAGAAGAGTCTCAGAGGCCTCTCTGCCTTCCTATTCCTTTAGATCCATCCTTCACTTGGTTACCAGTATGATTCAGCTTAAGTACATATCTGAACTTGAACCCTCCTTGTTTAAAGCTTTAGTCCTCATGGAATGAGATCTAAGTTCTCCAATGTGACATGAATATTTCTGCAGTGGTGTTCCATCAGGAATACCACCAGCTTCCTGTGTGGGGCATTTCTGGATTTCTCAATGTCTGGGGGATGGTAGTAGTATTTTGTGCCTAGGGGTCAGGAATGCTGAATATCCTGTAGTATCCAAGACAGCTCACACAATGAACCATCCCACCCAGAATGCCACTGTGGAGAAACTCTGCTCATGGGCCCTGCCTACCTCCCCAGCCTGCTAGACTACAGCTCTTCTAGACTTGTACTCTCGTAGACTGCAGCTACACAAAACTCCTCTTCCATAACACAACCATGCCTTTTCTTGATATTATACCTTAATTCTTGCTTCTGTTTGGATTAATTTCACTTGACACCTGGAATGACTCTTCACTTTATTGACTTATCTTAAAACTTCAGCTTTCTAATTGTTATATGCTGTACACTCACTACTTTGCATTCTATGATTTTCACCTTCACCTGACTAAGGTCCTTCTAGGCAAAAACTGTAGACCTTATATAAACAAAACAAAAAACTTTGAGAGATGGATAGATGATTGGATGACTGGGTGAGATCAAAGGCTTTTATAAGGCTGATGTATACTTAGTCCAGGTGCCCATAATATAGGTAATAAGTGCACTGTTTTCTTGCAACCATTGAAGTTTCAGATTAGGCCATCTGCCTTTAGTTCCAATATTCAATGTTTAATAGGTCATTCTATGCTCTTAATCTTCATTCACTAAATGTCTCTTTTGCAATGCCAGACAGCACCCTGCATGGCATTCCACTTACCCAAGCTGAAGATTGTAGGTTATGGCAAGCAGTTGGATAGGTACTTCTGTTTGGCAACTCTGTCTCCAGTCTGCTCAAGAACTCAGCAGTTTTGCTAGCAGAAACACAAGTCAGTGTTAGTGTCTTTATAAAAATAGAAATATCATTATTTATTGTGCCTTTGGAAACTAGCCTAGGCTTGTATTAGGTGATGCCTAAAAGTGTCACAGGTAGAACAGTTTGAGTGCAGTGGAAAATTGAATCAAAATGCTATTACAAAACTGCATTATTGAAGAACATTAGTTTGAAAAGTATAAGTCCTAAAACTGAACCTATAGGAATAGATTCTGAACCTATGATTTTATTTTTTCTACTTCCTGTACTTTGACATGGAAATAAATGCTCACTCAGATTCTAAAGTCCAGGGCTCTAATTTCCTATCTGCACATTTAAAGCTTGACACTCAGACTTCACTATAAAATGAAATATTAATCCCTCATAATATCTCATTTCACACTGGTTTTACATGAGCCCTTCACCTTCTTTTCCCTGGTCATCTCATTTCCAGCATAGTTTTAACTACTTTCAGGATACACAGACCCTCTAATCCAGTAACTCTTAGCCATTTATCGATCATGGACCTCTTTGGGATTCTGAAAGCAGAAATAGATCCTCTGTTTACACACACACACACACACACACACACACACACACACACACGCATTTGATTTGTAATAAGTGCTGTGGTTCTGGTCTGCATTTCTGACATGAAAGATTGGCCTAGACATGTCCTCAGAGTAAGTGAGAGGTTCTTTGACAGCATGGATAGACCTGGAGAACATTATGCTCAGCGAAATAAGCTGGTCAGAGAAAACAAATACCACATGATTTCACTTACATGTGGAATCTAATGAATAAACGAAACTACCAAGCAAAATAGAGACATACTCATACATTGAGAGCAGGCAGACAGCTCAGGGGCTGGAGGTGGGGAAAGGGATATAGCAAAAAAGAAAAAAAGACAGAGAAAACTCATGGATATGAACAACAGTGGTGATTAGGGACGGGAGGGTTTGAGGTGTGAATGCGTGGAAGTGGAAGAGGGCATAGAGGGGATTAATGGTAATGGGGAGAAAATACAAACCATCACCCTGATTTTGCCTCTCATGTACATCACGCATAGAATACTGGAATTGTTTCCTGGCCCTTACTTCCATAACTGGCCATTGATCCTACTTACCATTGATTTATTTACATTCCTTTGTCCCTTCCCCATGTTATCTATGGGATTTGTTACCCCTTTATTCCATCTTCGCAACCAAGTATCTCATCAAGGCCTGCTGTATAGTGCATCAGACCCTTCCTGCCTGCTCCCTATCTGCTTCCTTCCTTCTGGTATCCCTCTGCTTTCCCCTAATATTTTAGGTCTAATGCTAAGATCCAATTCACCAAGCACTTAGGGCATGGACATCAGAGAAAACACAAATGGCCTGGCAAAAATAAATGATATCTAGTGGGGTGGAAATCAAAACAAGGAATTAGAAATTAAACAGAGATGCCAACATCATTTCAAATAATTATTTGAGTAGAGCATGTCATTTGAACAAGTTCAGACGCTTGAGCTGGGAAAGAAAGAGCTCAAAGTTCAATAATGTACCCAACCCTAACAAACATAAGGCTTCGGCAGTTGAGACAAGCAGCCTTCCTATTTGTGTAGGATTGCTTATCTTGCCAAGAATAGACAAGGAGACTAATGAAATCTCAGAGTCTGGGAGCTGCCCCAGTGTCTGGAGCTTTATGAAATCATCAGTCAAAAGTATAAAGAGAAGAGAGTTGCTGCAAGTTTGGATGAGATTTCTGAATATCCTTAGCTGAGTGCAAACCACAGGAGAGATCAGTGAAAAAGAAACACCATGACAAGCAAGGAAGAAACATCAGATCAAGTTGATTGGCAGCCCTGCACTGTGTTCTGACGGTTGCATTTTATCTGCCAATTCTAGCACGAAGCTTGCTAGGTATCTAACCACCAGCTTGGCCCTTGTGCCAATGTCACTGCCCCACTTGTGCCACAAGATTAAATCACAATGACAGGGCCACAGGACTGTCACAGAAATGTGAGAAATCTCTGGAGAATGTGGATTACTCCCAAGTAAGTAACTATGCAAACAAGATAAGTTCCAAGTTACCAAACTAACTGGTATTGTTCTACTCTTAGTACAGTGTCAGGTGGTTGAGTGTTGACCAATGGAAAGTGAAAGGAAGTGATGCACACCACCACTTCCAGGATCAAATAACTGTAAACTTCCCAGGCATGCACCTCCATACATTTTCCCCCTACTGGCTGCCTGTGAAAGAGACAACCCCAGCACAAACTTTTAGACATTTAAACATTTAATGATATTAAGGAATTGTTGACTTTTTCTAAGTGTGAGAAATTTTGTGATTATGTTTTGGTGTGTGTGTGTGTGTTTTTTTTTCCAAGAAGAAAATGTGATTTTTAAAAAAAATTTATTTTGTTTTCCTTATTGATTAAGGTATTACATATGTGTTGTTATCCCCTCATCTGTGCACCGGGCCTCTAGTATTCCATAAGATGTAAAATCTGTTAATGGAGATTCATCAATGAAAAAAATTTTGACCTTTTTGAAAGGACAAAAAATATAGAAAAAGCCACAGAGTGTGGATTGTGTATCTGTGTATCATTTTACTAGCACAGAATTGCAAAAGACAATTCCTATAAGGTTATTTTTGGTGGTTAGAAAAGAACATTAGGGTTTTAGTGTTCAAGAAGGAATAAAAAATTAACTTAGACCTTTAGGAAGTTATGAGTCAGGCACCTGCCACACTCCACACCTCAGGGCTAAGCACCTTTCTCTAGCTGCTCTGTTTATCTGGCAACTTTGCACCACAACTGGGCACATAAAAACATTCTAATAAAAATGTTAAAGCTAAACAGTCGTAATTAGAAAAGCTTCCTCTCTGGGGGGGTGAAGGGCGGAGGGGAGGAAGCCAGTTACAAAGCCTGGTACTTCTGTCTTGTTAGGAGTAGATGGGGCATTTTTATCTTCTTTCATCTCAAGTGTCTCAGAAGTCTGCAGGGTGTGGCCAGGGGATGTAAGGAAGTGAAGTGGGCCGGGAGTGAGGCACAGGAGCTCGGACTCAGTGATAAATAGCAGCTGCCACTCAGGTCAGTGTTGGAGCGACCAGAGAGAGAAGAGAGGATTTTAACAAACTAGAGCATGATCTTCCCTAGAAAGGGGTCATCTGCTACTCAGCTCCAGGCTGTCACTGCCCCATGGGGACACAGCCGGCATTGCCGGATCCTAGTTTTTGTAGGTAGAATAAAAATGCTAACAACTTTTAAAGTGAAATAGGTTGGCAATTAATACAAAAATTTTTGAAACACTGTGGGCCAAGCAAAAAAACAAAAACAAACAAACAAAACACACACACACACACACACACACACACACACACACGCACACACAAACTCTGTAGGTCAAATGTGGCCCCAAAGGCCACCTGTCTGTGAGCAGGTGATTTTATTTCTGCATGTCCAGGCTTGTGCATTTCTTAATTACATATTCTTTATATTCATTTTAAAAAAAGGAAAAGACAAGCAAGGTTGGTTTCTAGTATTGAAGAGATAGTTGCTATACTGGTTTATGTATATCAGCTAATAGCATATTTCATATTGATTTCAATCACTAAAGAATATTATTTCATTTATAGTTTATAACTGAATGAAAATATTTGTGTTAATACATGAAAAGAAATGGTGAGCCCTAACCGGTTTGGCTCAGTGGATAGAGCGTCAGCCTGCGGACTGAAAGGTCCCAGGTTCAATTCCGGCCAGGGGCATGTACCTTGGTTGCAGGCACATCCCCAGTTGGGGGTGTGCAGAAAGCAGCTGATCGATGTTTCTCTCTCATCAGTGTTTCTAACTCTCTATCCCTCTCCCTCCCTTCCTCTCTGTAAAAAATCAATAAAATATATATTTTAAAAAAAATAATAATAATAAAAAAGAAATGGTGGGACACTATGAGATGCAAAAACTCCCAAAATATTTATAAACAAATAAAAATAATAAAATTATTAATGTGAACAATATATAAAGATCTAATAAATTAATTAGAAAAAGATGACCCAATAGAAAAGTGGGCAAAAGGTAGAAACCTAATTCACAGAGGAAGAAGCCCAATTACTAGTAGTAATAAAAACAACAACAATAATAGCTTAGGATGTGTATGGTGTTTATTATGTGTCAAGCCTGTTATAATCACATTATATATATTTACTTCATGACAACCTTGTGAGGGCACTAATATAATGCTCAAAATCATACAATACACATAGTAAATTACATGTCACAGCCAGGATCAGATCTGGGCAGACTGGCTTTTGGTCACTATACTTAATTGCTTCTCATGAGCAATAACCATGTGAAAAGATATTTAACCTCACTAATAATAACTGTGGTGTTTACTAGCATAAGGCTCAGCATATGCCATTCTGGGTTCCAAAGAACAGTACTGTCCAGAACACCAGGAGGAAGACCTGTGAGGGGCTGGCACATGAGAATCATCAGTGGCGCTTCTTAGATATCAATGGACTCCAGACTTGGTCTTTCTAATTCAATGTCTGCAGTAGGATCTGGGAATGTTTCTTAAAAGCACTCCTGGCGATCTTGAGAATTATTATGGTAGTACATATGGATATTTAATATGCATAAGTACCTCAGGTCCACATTGTTCTGATTTATGAATAATTCTTATCATACAACACATTTCAAAACAAAACCTCAGCATGTCTTAGGAATCTTCCGTGTAAGTATGATCAAACAGTACATTCTTCCTTTGCTTCACAAACATGAACTTTGCCACCATGAGGTTTAGGTGAACAATAACCCTTCTTACACTTGCACATGCATTCATGCAGGTAAAAAATAATTCCCTCAGTCTCTGTTTTATATTTTAAAATACATGTTATAGAATAATCTAAATAGGTACTACTTTGCCTATGTCAGTTTCATATACTGGATGTGAACAAAAGACCTTAATTAGCAAGGTGAGAGAAAATGAATAGATACATGAGTTCCATTTAAAAGATCACAAG